AAAATTAATATGACGTGGAATATTAGTTTAAAAAAAATTAATATGACGTGTAATATTAGTTTTAAAATAAAAAATTAATATGACGTGGAATATTAATTTTAAAATAAAAAATTAATATGACGTGGAATATCTTAGTTGGCAAAATATATGGATGATGTCAGCATTAACAGGTCAACAGGTCAACCAGACCCTTAAATAAACAAAAAGTTTGATAGAGACCCCTAAATGACAATTTTGAAAGTTGGTTCCCTAAAATAGAAATCAGGTGAAAGTTGGTTCCATTTTGGTGCAATTTTCCCTTTTATATATAAAATATAATATATAATCTATTTAATCATCAATTAAATATATTTTATCTAAATTATATTACAGAGTATTTGACAAAAAAAATTAAAGACTATCTTTTATATATGAAGTACTGTTTATTGATGCATATTACTTAAAATTCAAGAGTACAAGTAAATTTTGCATAAGTACAACTTATTAAAGCTCTATGTTTGAATTCGTGTAACTAACTGCGGATAAATATAATCAAATACATGATAAACNAATTCAAGATTACAAGTAAATTTTGCATAAGTACAACTTATTAAAGCTCTATGTTTGAATTCGTGTAACTAACTGCGGATAAATATAATCAAATAGAGGATAAACAACTTATTTTAAAATATAAAAAATATAAAATATAATTAGAATAATTATTGAGTTCTAACAGAATACTTAATTATTATGTTTATAAAAAAAAATATTATTAAACCTAAATTAAGTTACTTCATTACGATAAATTAAATTATAATACAAACATTGAATTAAAAAAATACACAAATAAAATTTTTTAAACAGTTAATTTGAAACTAATATTGATATATTTTTTGCAAATTTTATATGATATTTTATTCAAAAATAAAAACATTATCGTTTTCTCAAAACCACATAAAATCGTATTATATCGACATAGATAAAAAATAAAACGAAACATTGAAATCGAAATGTGTCTCAATGCTTTGCATGAGTACCCTTCTAGTAATAAAAAACTGAATTAAAGAAATTACAAAAAAAAAGAACTTTTAAATAGTTAATTTGATACTAATATCGATATATTTTTTTTTAAATTTTATAATATCTTCAAATTTATATTTTATTCAAAAATAAAAACATTATCGTTTTATCAAAATCACATAAAACCGTATTATCACATCGACATGGGACAAAATAAAACGAAATATTAAAATCGAAATGTATCTCGTTGTATTGCGTGAGTACCCTTCTAGTAATATATTAATAAACCTAAGCTAAAACAATGTTTATATCGAAACCGCTTTTAAAAACACCAACGTAAGAGGTATTTAGTAGCAGATGCTAGTGGGACGGTTCGAGATTGAATTATGTCTTCTATTTATAAATTGAATTATACGTCAAAAGCTTAATTTATTAATACAGAGGATGAATTCATAATCCATTTATAAATAGTAAATTTGAATTAAAAAATTATAAATATATAAATGTTATTTTTTAGAAAACTAACAGATTGATGTATAGTTTAACAAAAATGTTTGATTGTTAATTAATTATATAAAATATAATTTCAGATAATCCGGAGTCACCGCATTTATTATTTTATTTTAATTAACCTAAATATCCAACCTGTTATGCAAACCGACTAATCCCAAGATGATCACCTGCTTTACAGATAACCCGGAGTCACTGCATTTGAACCTCCGTAACCACAAGGAGATTTTTAATCCTCCTTGAACCTGAGACCTCCTGGTACTTTTGACCTTTGGAACCAAGCTCAAACCAATCAGGCATCGCCTTTATGGTTTTATTTTTTTTTTATTTTTTTTTTATGATTACCTATGAAGAAAAACCAGTTACAAACATAAATCAAAATCTAAGGGGAAACCCAAAGGCAATAGCATGGTTCACAACAGTATCCAACAAGGTACAACACAATTACATGAAATCTGGCATCAGTATTTCTGATTCACCACCACCAACTTAATGATAATCACAAAGAAAATTAAAAATCAAAACTAAAACAACGAAGAATACGAAATGCAATACGATCTCCGTATCGGCATTCTGTCGTTTGATGTAGAAAAACACACCAAACCAACTTTTAAGTGCTCTTTTTGATATTCATACTTTCAAGGCAGCTTTGTGAACCATGGTTTCCTTGTGGATTTGGTGACAACTTTTCTCGACCAGATCCAGCAGCTTCTCCAAGTTGGTTGCCCACGAATTTAGAATGTCGTTGCTGTCTTTGGCACTCTGGAAACAGACGACACCCATTGGTCTGTCTACCTTTGCTACAAGTGCTTTCGATACCACCATATCAGAAAGATGCTTTATCGCTTCCTGAAACACACACCCACACACACACACACACCACTGATGCTTAAATACGCTTTCGTTAATATATGATGGCAAATAACCCAGGTTCAGATTAGAATATATGTAGGCCAAATTGTATGGAAATGCAAAGTAGTTTTATCTGTGTAACGTATTTTTGAAACCTTTATTTTGATGCTTCAGATGTGTCATCTCAAACATTTAGGGGACCTAGTTACATATGAGAATAAATGAAAATGGAACCTACTTTGATCTTATTCTTATTTTGTGTAACGTACTTTGCTCTAAATGTTTGAGATATAACATCTAAGGTATAAAAATGAAGGTTTTGAAAGTATGTTATGAAAAATAAATAAAAACACACCAGAGTACGTTGAATGTTCATGCATTTTGCCCGGGAAAATAATTATGCAACAATTTCCGTTTTGGATGTCTTGTATTAATTGCAATGTTCTCTTTTCATGAAATTTTCAATCTAAATTACAAATTTGCTTATTGTCGTCATGTGGTTTTGGCTCACAAGATTAAAAGAGAAGCTTTTGTCCCACTATGGTCATAAAATGGCAGGGTCATGATGCTTTTAAAATAATCTTTTTAAGGTGTGTTACGTATGCAGAAGGGACTTAACTGGACAGGACCGGATGGGCGAGTGTGAGGTAGGCGGGTGAAAATTGTGGAAGGTTTTAAGGTTGTATTTCACATGGGTAGTCTAGTAATTCACCAACCTTGTCCCTATCTCCCCTAATTTTTGTTCCACCTATTTTGGTGGGACAGAAAAAATGTACTTTTTTCCCACTCAGGTCCTGTCCTATCCTGTTCCAGTCTAATATTGTGCTGAACGTGACACAAGTGTTTGTATCGTCTTGTCCCTATGATATCTAATTTCTGGAAGGGTGGAAGGGTGGTCTGGGAACGAGGCATATAAGGAGGGACAAGGAAGAAATATGGATAAGTATGTGAACGAAAATGTATAACAGACCTCGACAGTCAGACACAGCAGCTCAGCGAGTCGTTTTACTGTGATCCGTGCATAGTACTTTGAGACAACTAGGATATTCTGCAAATATAAACAGATTGCAATTAGCAACGGAACATTTGTATCAACTCAATATAAAAAAAAATACAACACAGAAATGAGAGCATAATTTACATGCTCGATTATTCTCTCCCTAAGATCCTCAGCAGCTTTGTCGCCCAAAGAGCCGCCTAGCATGTTCTTTTCATTTTCAAACTCCTCCTTAAATGTATTCCACAAAGCGGTCCACTGAATCACTTCCATTGTGATCACTTGTTTTAGCAAAGACCTATGGGACCACAGGGACAAGCATCAGAATATGTATGGCATAATACATGCATGCATACATACCTACACATATACATATACATATATATAGGGTATAGGTTGGGTTGAACCCCTAAAACTGAAGAACAAGGAAATGCTCATCAACCGTCGATCAGTTTCGATCCAATATGGCTGTGAATGATAGGGACGGTTACATTTTGCCAAAACTAAATCCACAATTACATGGGCGGTTACATTCAAATCTGGGCCACCTCAACAGTTGATAGATGTTCCCTTGTTCTCCTTTTCTAGGGTTCTCCCTCTTCCTCTCTATCTCTCTCTCTCTATATATGTATATATATAGCATAAACTGAAGTTCAAACATCGGGTAAGAAGTACAATTTCTAGTGCAAGATACATACCTAAAATGAGGAATTTCTGAGAGATTTTTATCCTCTAAGGTAGAGTTCAAAAGGCTGGACTGCATAGGATCATGTGGTGACAGTACCAAATACCAGCAAATTTTCCTCAAAACCTACATATATCAAATCAACAAAAAGTTGAAGATTTCTGTATATATTGGACCTTCATGAAACAACAAATGGGAAGACGTTTTTACTGGTATCCACTGAGAAGGGTCTTCCTTGACAGAAGGGACTTCATATATCGATTTGTAGCATCGACAAATTTCAAGGTAGTCATTGCTGTGTGAGTAGTATCTGCACAGATGGACAAAAGAGAATGAATAATAAATAGAACATAGAGAAAACTTCCATGAAAAAATAAAATTGTATAAAACATCCAAAACCTTGCTCGAAAACAAGATATAGACATTGAAAATACAATTCTTTTTGGTGAAGTTGGACATTTGAAGAGCCTGAAATTTGAGTCCAGAGCAGCTTATTGTCCTTGTTTCTGGCTTTCTGCTATCATCATATAGATGGTATTTGCTACAGACACTATTACGCACATCATTTAATGCAAAGTTCTGAATGGGGTGAGGTGTGGCGTGGTGGCGAGGTCAACCCTCAAGCCCTACGCGACACGGCGAGCACAGAGTGTTTTTCAAGGTGTGACTTAAGGTGGCAAATTTATATGTCATATATATAATTATACATATATGTTTTCTACTATTATTCAATTTGACAATGATATTAAACAATTTAAATTCATGTTACAAGAAGAAAAATCATATATATTGACATGATAATATAGAGTTTGTGATCAAAAACTCAAAATAGAACTTGGAAAGGTTTTACAGCTTCATTTTAACCGTGAATCTGTGAAGTGTGCATGAAAATTCGTGACTCTATGAGTAAGGTAATAAAGTAAACCGTAAAGGTGTAAAACCTAAAGTTATAAATGTAAAACACAAAAGTTAAAAAAACAACTAAAAAGGTCATGCCTTGTAAAATATGCAGGCCATGGCATGAGCCAAAGCCTTACACAAACGCTATGGGACTTATCGTGATGTTGGCAACACGTATAGAAAATCATGGCGCACCTTTTAGAACCCTAATTTAATGTCCAAGAATTGCAATTGGCAGGCATTATTTTTTAAAAAGGTTCACAACCAGCAGCAGTGCTATTAGTATTTGAACATTTGATTCAACCGGTAAAAAAACATAAAACATCATGCTAAAGAACGCAAAATCGTACAGAAAATAGAGGCATTTCTTACTAGGCTACACCTTGATAGAAAGCATGGTTCTCTCTGAAGCACTTACGCCAGGAAAGATCAATTATAGGTCAAGTGCCCCTAACAACCTGCTTAACTGATCTAATTGAATAGACGCGCTTACGCAAACCTACTTCTACTACTTCGATGGAATTAATGAAATAAGTTCACATCAAAGTGGTTAAAGTGGTCCCATGGCCTAGGCGAGAAGCACGGGCCTCAAGAATGTGAGACGCATCTTATCAAAAAGAATATACATATATATATATATACATATATAATGTCTTTATTTGCAACAGTGTCTTTTCATCCATCAGACATTAAAGAGCAGCCATGCTTGACGAGATCTAGTACCAACTTCTGAACGTCATGGGAGATGGCGGGTCTTTTTTGAACTCTTAAGAGATGAGAAGACTTATCTAAAAGAAACACAGAATTTCAGTCTAATTTATGAGGCACGCCTAGGCCCAAAAGGTGCCTCAGCCAAGGCGCAATGCCTTAGCTCGTCTTGTGAATGTGCCTCGCCTCGCCCATAGAAAAGCCAAACCTCTTGCGCCTTATGCGCCCACTCAGGCATGCTTTTAACTATTAGGGTTAACATCTCTTTAATATTTCTGTGGACCTTTCCCAACCAGCATTATGATTCTTAAACGATTTTGATATCCTCACTCTTATTCCTTCCTAGTAGCCAAGATAATTGCAATACCCAGCCCACTGTAAACCAATTTCCATATTTATTAGCAATCGTGTTTGTTTTGAGATTAATCTATTTTTATTTTGTTATCAGAACAGTAGGAGTGCAGCAACCCGCTAGTAGAGACTTGAATATGGTGCACTGTGGTAGCAATTTGACTAGGGTGAAGAGGGTGCAAAAAAGATGGTATACTTAAATGTTTACTAAATTCTAGAGAAATCAGCAGAGTTTGTATAGTTGTACTCGGAGGGAAAAGGTTGTAATTTTGAAACAACACCAAAAAGCAACTCTTCAAATAAGCCAACATTTTGCAGATGTAAACAAGAGAATGGGGAGAAAGTGAACAGCTTGAGAAACATCAGCAAAGATAAACCTTTTTCTTCATTGATTCGATGCTCTGGCCATTGGCTTATTTTTCTGGCTACTTTCTTACATACGCTCTATTGCCCCTCATATGATCTAAATCCATGTTCATTTACTCTTCTATTTTTAAGGAGCAGTCCCTTCTGTTGAGGATTGTTTGTTTTTGCTTTCTATTTATCTCAACTGAGTACATAATAGACTATAGAAGGTTTGTGTTCAACCAATGACCAACAGTCTCTTTAACGGTTAAAGCTACTTTAACCACAACTCCCTCCAACAGCTGTAAAATATTTAAGGCAAACTGGAAAACTGGGAATGTTCTTAACTCGAGTTAACTTCGTAATATGGTTTTATTATAGCAGTCAAAATGATTTTTGTGTTGTAATCTCAATAATGTATATAACTACACAGAATCAGATATTACACAATTGTATGTGTTCTATATGCTGCACCTCTATCTTACTTGATAGTTATTGCATGTGCCAAACTTTACCATCTGTCCAACATTCATTCTGATAATACACATTTCTTATATCCTAGAACTCTGTTTCACAAGCATGCATAGATCAGCGGAAGTTCCAGACGGCTCTAGCATGTATCCTTGACGCCTTGGAAGTAAATAGTTGAACAAGCTCAAGCAAATAATGAAGAAACTAATAACAGTTAGAGCTTCACGCCCTAGTAAAAGATGACAAACGACTACCATATATAGTGTATTTATCATCCCTTATAGACTTTTCTCTCTCTCTTTCTTTATTTATCTTCAAATACATTGTGTAGTTGCCTATATGCTGAAACTGATTTTTTTTCCCTATTAAAATGCAAAAGCTTTATTGTTTATAGGTAGTACTTTCAGCACGTTATACATGCAATCATATACATACAAAGGTTGTATCTTTGCCACCAGTATCCTAGCTTCGGATGATTTCTTGAGCCCCTGAGTCCCAAAATGACACCAAAAATCTTTCACTGTGCATCCTTGCTTCTTAACCGACACTTAGAAAAGTGACTAGTTCTCCATTGTCCCTTCTTCCCAAATTAAGGGTCCATTGACTTAAAAAAATTGCGATGCTTGTATAAGGAAAAGGTATAAATGAAAATAGTATCAAAGATAATATTTTTAAAGGTGGACAGACATCTAGTTGAGCACATCCTAGAATGGAATGAGGGTATAGATCTACTCTACAGCATCAAGCCTTAATATATTTATAACGAAATTCATGAACCACTGAATCAGATTTATTGGCATGTAAGAATCGCACCTTAAATAGAAAGCATGCCAGCACAAACCTTCAGAATAATATCATCATGTATGCCTTTAAAATGGGAGAATATTTATTTGTTCTTTGTTGAAAATATTGTTCCCCATCAAGCATGGGTTAACATTACTAATTCGCTATATTGCAAATAATGGGAACCAGAGAAAATAAAATGAAAAAAAGAACATTTTATATATACATCATACTTGTCATTTTAACACCAAAATCTCGAAGAAAAAAATTGCAGGGCTATTTACCGTATCATTAGTCCATAGTAAATTCGCTTCAGTTCCAGCAATGATGGTATATCAGCAGGGGCCTCTTCCACAATACTCTCACCTTCTTTCGGCTTCTTCTTTTCTTTCGAAGGATCAGCATCAAAAACTCTAGGGCTGATCTTCCTGGAAAGTATTTGTGCACGCACATAATCCTGGCGGTCTAAACACAACCGAACCTGCATATATCAAACTACCATGTATCAAATTGCTGTTCCAAGTAATAAGGGAAACAAATTTTAGAAGATTTCCCACTTGTTCCAGAATGAAAGCAATCTTTTCGGTTTTTGCCATTGCACCAAAAGTTTCCACCTGTGACCCACACCAAAAAAAATGATAGTATAAGAGAATAATTCAGTTCATAGTTTAATTATATGATGCATAATAGGAAACGAAAACTAGTTAATAGAAAGATTTTCTGAAACAAACCGCAATTTCTTGCATCAAATCAGCAGCCTCGGCTATTTCCCCCTGCTCCTCCTTAATCTTAGCTAGTCTCTTAATCAATCGGGCTCTCTCAATCTCTACATAAATCTACCAAAAGGAATGTTACGTTTCAGGAGCTTGAAAACAAGAATTGTCAACAAAAAACATATTTGAATTAATTTTATTGCGCTCACCTTCCCCGCCGAAACACTGTTTAGTGTTTTGATGAGCTCAATCTTAGTTTCAATATCTGGTGTCCCATCGATATACTGCATTGCTTGTTGGACCATGGCCGTGACAGCCTGTACGTAAAACAAGATCACATAAAGAACATCTGCAAAACTTAGCATCTCAAACAGGCCGTTCGTAAAACACATGAAGAACGGAAACCAAAGCCAAAGTCCAATGGGGTAAAAAGAACAGAAGACAAAAAAAGGTCTTAAAACACCCACATCTTGTCAAATGCACAAAAAGTTAGAAAGCATACCAAATAATAAAAAATGAAAAGGGTATTAATGAGTTCTTTTGAGTTGCATGACCAAAGTATTAGATAGAATTGGATTGAGAAAGTATCCTATATTATGTGCACCAGGTTTCTAAGACTCTAGCGGGTCGTTATCACCTGATGTCAAAAATCATTATTACACAAAAAATCATCTGGTTCTAGTTATTCTCCGCCAACCTAGCAATATAGTATTCTTCAAATATCTATTTAACCTGCCCTTACTTAGACACTAACAACAAACTAAGTGGAGAAAAATCAAAAGGGCTGACTATGAGATGAGAGAAGAGTGCCCTAGATAAGCCCTCGCAAGCCTACATAGAGCTTTGGTAGACCTCTAATAATAACAATTGGCAAGTTACTGTACCCTCTTAGAGAAGAAGTGGACAAAACAATAAATGTCGACAGGCTTCATTATCCTGGGAAATAGATTCATGTGCTTGCTTAGAATTTTTGGTAGTAACAAGAGCCTTTCACCTGAAATGAATAGAATTATTATGTGTCCCTTTGAAACATGAGACATAAGACACACAGAAACAAGGTTTCTTGCAGATTTTTCAAAGTTGTCTTGATTAAAACTATAAGGTGTTTGATCTCTAGTATATGCCATGGCAAAAACAAAGATGAGCAAACAAGGGGAAAAGAAGGCACAACCTATACAGATGTGTCCAGCCATTTTAACTTTTAAATTGGCTGATCGATGTGTGGCAGCTTGTTCATTAGTAGATCCCTCTTAGTGAAATTAAGTGCATATGGTCCAATTGTGTCTATTTAATTTAGAGGCTCAGAAACAAAACATGTCAACAGCCACTGATAAAGTGGAGATTGAAAAGGGAAAACTGAGCTGATACAAATTATCAAAATCGCTTGAACTGGAGGATCACAAAGCATGAAAAATTGAAAACCGAATAATACAAACTCCATGAAGATCATCGATCGTCAGTCCAATTGCATGATCAGACTTTAAATAGTCATGTCTGATGTATTACTCAAGCCATTAAACTCCCAATTGTTGATAAAATGACATAATGAAACCCTCAATAGTCATTCCTAGCATCCTTAAAAAGAACTTGACATGGACTGGTGACCTCCTTACAACCCAATCAATACCTAACAGGCTAACCTGACCAAGTTTGTCACAATTCAGTAGACTAGAAGCCATGGAGCCCAAGATCGAGGAATCCTTTAAAGACACTAATAGAGGAAAAACGCAATGCAAGAAATCTTGAATCATGGATATATATATATCCTATGCATGCTCAAATGACTCCCGTTATTGGTATCAAAGCCTTGTGCAAACCTTAAATAATGTCAATCTCATAGTTGCACAATTTGTTCAATATAACAGAGTGAAGATATTGACCTTTAGTCAAAATGATTTCTGTCACCTCACTGAATACTTGGCAAGTGCCTAGTCACCTTGGAGTTCCTGACTACCTATGCCGCCTTGACAAACTTGAGCTCAACTCAAGTAAATTAAGTTCAACATTCATAAGCACAAAAAATGAGTTCAATTGTCCATCTATCTTGGCTGAGACTATCCTGAAACTACACACAATTGGACCCTACTTAAAGAGTACAATCAAGGATTAGGCGTAAATATTATGAATGCTTTATTCTAATTTATGCCTCTGCTTATGAAAGTTCAAGCATGCAACAAACTAATGCCTTCTTTTAGTTCTAGAAAGACACTCCTACAGTATGTACCTAAGTCAACATGTTTGGAGTACTCATACAGCAACACATTCTGAAAATCCTTATGGCCCAACTCTACCTAGTGAAGCATCAATTTCTTTTTGAAAGAATGTGTCCCGTGATTTCTGGAGTTCGGGTTTACCTCGTCAGTAGTCTTTTCTAGTCCTGGTCTATAGGAGTTTGTTCATATTTTTTTGCCTCGTTAGCTATTGTTGATCGTGGCTGATTTCTAGGGACTTCTTTATGTTTGCAAGGCTATTTAAAGCCAAGTTTGCTGAATAAGAAGTTAAGTCTTTTGGTTCAATTGTTGTGAGTTTCTCTGATATTTAACAATTGGTATCAGAGCACCCACTGGGTTTGATCATAAAAAAGCTGCGACTTTTAGAGATACACACGAGAGATGACTGAAGGGAAGATGAAGCTCCCTCACTTTGATGGTTGTCACTATGACCACTGGAGTGAATTAATGGAACATTTGTCGAGGGCAAAAGGTTTGTGGAGCATGGTAGAGAAGGGCTTTACGGAACCAAACATTGAAGCATTGACGTGACTTACAGACGCACACAAAATTCAACTTGATGATGCAAGGCAGAAAGACCACAAAGTGAAACATTACCCTTTTTAAGCAATCGACAGGGTAACGTTTGAACACGTTCATGACAGAAGCACTGCTAAGAGTGTATGGAATTCACTAAAAAAGAAGTTCTCAGGGAATGATCGTGTCAAGAAGTCTCTCCTTCAAAAGCTGAGAAGAGACTTCAAGATACTGGAGAAGAACAACAGTGATAGCATCACCGACTCGAGTACTTTGCTAAAGTTTTGGCAATAACCAACCAAATGAGAAGCAATGAAGAGGAGATGTCTAATCAAAAAATAGTGGAGAAGATTTGAGGACACTCAAAGAAGATTTCACGTATATTTGGTGTCTATAGAAGAGGCGAAGGACATCAAGACTATCTCGATCGATGAACTACAAAGCTCTCGTGTGGTTCATGAACTAAAACTCAAGAGACATGAACATAAAGAAGACCAAGTCCTCAAAGTAAGTCAAGACGAGAGAACAATTGGAAGGGGTCGAGGAAGAATGAGTCCAAGAGTTAGGGGACACGGTCGAGGGAGATGAACATTCAACAAGGCAATTGTTGAATGCTTCAAATGTGGAAACTTTGGCCATTTTCAATACGAGTATCCAAAATGGACCAAAGGAGTCAACCATGCCAAACTTGATGAGGAACAGGAGCTTGTGTTGATGACATACGTTGAGCAGTATAAAGCAAAGAGAAGCGACGTTTGGTTCCTGGACTCGGCATGCTCCAACCATATGAGTGGTAACAAAGGTATGTTCACAAGCTTAATTGAAACTTTCAAACGTACAGTTAGGCTTGGAAACGACATGAAGTTGGAAGTAGCTGGAAAAGAAAGTGTTAAACTGACATTGAATGGAGTCGCTTCTGTTATTAGTGAAGTGTATTATGTCCCAGAACTCAAGAACAATCTATTGAGCATAAGGCAGCTCCAAGAGAAGGGACTAACAATCACAATTGAAGGAGGCATGTGCAAAGTGTATCATCCGATTAAGGGGTTGTTACTTCAAAGTGTGATGAGTGCTAACAGAATGTTTGAAGTTACAACTCACCTTGCAGCAAATGCTCAACAAGAAAATTGTTTTCATACAAGCCATGAGAAACTACATCAGTTGTGGCATGAAAGGTATGGCCACCTAGGCAAAAACGGGATAAAGATGCTTCAAACCAAGAAAATGATGCGAGGATTGCCTCACTTTGAAGTTAAAGACGATACTTGCACTGATTGTTTGAAAGGCAAGCAACCTAGGAACCCAACTCCTAAGCACAGTATGTGGATGGCGAAAGAAGTTTTGGAACTCATTCATTCAGACATTATGGTCCGAACAATCCGATATCCAACTGTGGCAAAAGGTAGATTTTGTGTTTTATAGATAATTTTGGTCGTACAGCATAGGTGTATATCCTTGCAAAGAAAATTGAGGCACTAAGTGACTTTAAAACATTTAAGAGTTTTGTTGAGAAAGAAGCAGGGACACAGATCAAGTGCTTAAGTACTAATAGGGGAGGTGAATTCACCTCCAATGAGTTCAATGTTTATTGCAAGGAGGATGGAATGAAGAGGCAACTCACGACTGCTTAGAGCAAAAATCGTACGGTGATGAACATGGTGAGATCAATGTTGACAACACAAAAGGTTCTGAAAACCTTCTGGCCTGAAGCAGTGAACTGGACGTTGCATGTTCTAAACAGATGTCCTACAGTAGCAGTCAAAAACATCACATTGCAAGAAGCTTGGTGTGGGGAAAAGCCCTCCGTAGAAACTTTCGAACATGGGGATGCTTGGCTCATGTGCACCTACCTAAAGTTAACAGAGGTGAACTTGATGACAGAAGTTGTACCTGTGTTCTTTTGCATTTTAGTGATGGGTGAAAAGGGTATAGGTTGTTTGATCCCAAAACAAAAAGGGTGGTAGTGAGCAAAGATGTAGTTTTTGAAGAAAATAAAATGTGGGAATGGAGAGAGAATTATGAAGAGCAAGTTGGGGCAGATTTAGTGTGGAGCGATGATGAAGATGTTGGAGAGGAAATGGGTAATTTTGGGGATGAAGAGGAAAGACTAGATGGTGATGGAGTGGAAACAGAAAATTCAAGTAAGGATGTGGGTAATGACCAGAACACAACAGGTGCAAGAGAGGGACAAGTACCAACAGCAGGTGCAAGAGAGAGACAAGCTCAAAGAGTACCTTCCTATCTTAGGGACTATGCCTCCAATGATGAGTTATCGGAGGAAGAAATCAAAGAAGTAGAAATGAATATGATCGAGTTTGATAGAGGTGATCCTTCAACCTATGAAGAAGCAGTGAAAAGCAAGAAGTGGAGATTAGCCATGGATGTAGAGATGCATGCAATCAAAAGAAACAACACATGGGAACTACTGAATTGCCAAAAGGAGCAAAACGCATCGGTGTGAAGTGGATATACAAGAACAAACTCAACGAGCTTGGAAAAGTAGAGAACTCAAAGCTCGATTGGTGGCAAAGGGATACTCTCACAAGCATGGTATAGACTATAAAGAGGTGTATGCACCGGTTGCATGTATGGATACAGGAAGAATGGTAATCGCTATGGCTGCCCACAAGGGTTGAAAGATCTTTCGACTTGATGTTAAATCAACATTCTTGCATAGGACCCTGTCAAAAATTGTTTTTGTCGAACAACCTAAGGGATACATAATTAGAGAAAGTGAGAATAAGGTCTACAAGCTTCACAAAGCCTTATACGAACTAAAACAAGCGCCAAGGGCTTGGTTCAGCCATATTCAAGCTTATTTTATTGATGAAGGCTTTCAAAATGTCAGAACGAAGAAACTCTATTTTTAAAAAGGGCAGTGAAGGTAAAGTTCTTAATGTTAGTGTATAGGTTGATGATCTCATTTACACAGGCAATGATACCTCAATGATGCAAACTAAGTGTTCGATGCAAAAGGAGTTTGATATGTCTGATCTTGGAAAAATGAGATTTTTCCTTGGTATAGAAGTGATACAAGCAGCAGATGGCATCCATGTTTCACAAAGTAAATATGCAATGGAGGTCTTGAGACGTTTCAAGATGGAGGACTGCAACCCTGTGTGCAATCCTATTGATCCCGGAAGTAATATTGACAAAGATGAAGATGGAGAAAGAGTAGACGAGACATGTTATAAGCAAATGATTGGAAGTCTAATGTACATCACCAACACACGTCCAGATTTGCAGTTTGTTGTAAGTCTGGTTAGTCGTTTATGTTCAGGCCTACCAAGCTACACTTTCAAGCTGTCAAGAAAGTGCTAAGATACTTGAAGGGAACTTTAGATTACGGCATATGGTACAAATGACGAGGAGCTGAAGGAATGAAAGTGTACACATATAGTGATTATGCTAGAGAGACCAATGGAAGAAAGAGCACCTCTGATTATGCTTTTTTATTACTTGATGGGGCAGTAGCTTGGTCTTCTAAGAAACAAGAAGTCGTTTCTCTCTCAACAACAGAGGCAGAGTACATAGCCGCTGCTGCATGCTGCCACACAAGCTGTTTGGATGAGAAGAGTCCCAGAAGAATTAGGCTATGCATTGGAAAGAAGTACAACGATAATGTGTGATAATACTTCAACCATCAAGCTTTCCAAAAATCCTGTGTTTCACAGGAAGCGTAAGCACATCCATGTGCGATATCGCTTCTTGCGTGACTTGGTGAAAGATGGAGTGATTAAATTGGAGTTTTGTGGCTCTCATGATCAAGTTGTTGACATATTCACGAAGCCTCTGAAGCGTGATACCTTTCAGACACTACGGACTCAGCTTGGAGTCTGCTCTGCATCAAGTAAACTAATTGGTGGAACTCATGTTAGTTTAAGAGAGAGAATGAAAGAATGTGTCCCGTGGTTTCTGGAGTTTGGGTTTTCCTAGTCAGTAGTCTTTTCTAGTCCTGGTCTATAAGAGTTTGTTCAGATTTGTTTGCCCCGTTAGCTATTGTTAATCGTGGCTGATTTCTAGGGATTTCTTTCTGTTTTTGAAGGCCATTTAAAGCCAAGTTTGTTGAATAAGAAGTTAAGTCCTTTGGTTCAATTGTTGTGAGTTTCTCTGATATTTAACACTTTTTACATACAGCTAACCCATCTTAACTAAAAGAGTAAGTTGGAGTCTATATGGCATATGCATACCAAATGCATCAATCTTTAATAACTTTATAATGACGAAATTCAACTTGTCAAAGTAGAACACCTAAACTACATCTACTAATAACAGCATTAACGCTATAATCCATCAAACACATACTATCATCAATCATTCTTCTACAAACAAATCAAAAATCTCGATTGCAAGTAACATTTTTCACTAGATCATCTCCAAACCAAAAGGTATTCAGATTGCAATTGCACAAAAAAAAGATTCAGGATTTACCTGCTTCAACTGACCACGCCGCTTCGACAATACAACAATTTGATCATTAAGTGTCTTCCAAGCACGAGCCTCGAAGCAAAGTTGAAGAATATCAACCGCGGCCTTCTTTGTACCGGCTACATCGCCATTAAGTCTCATTTGCTTCTCCACATTCAACAAAGACTCTATTTGCGAGTCCAAACTACCTCCTCCTTCCTGAAAACACACATAGACAATTCCAATTGAGTAAAAAAAATCAAATTGGTAACTTAAATCTGATAAACAGAGGCATTGCAACATAAAGCTTACCATATTGGATTCAAATTACGGATCGGAAACGCTGAAACCGTTGAATCTAATTATGAGCTTTAGATATAAACCCTAGCGAGAAAGAAGGGAAGATGGTGTTGGAGAAGAAGACATTGTATCAAAGAAAAGCATCTATAGCTTTCTGAGCAAGAAACCGGGTACCCATCCGATCCGGCCCATTTTTTATTTTAACCCAAAAGTAACGGCCCATTCTACTTTTACTCGAAAGTAACGGCCCATTTTTGTTAGTGATATCATCATAAACGGCCCATTTCGTTTATGTATTTTTCATTTATTTTGGTTTAGTTATAATTTATTTTTTGGTATTTGTTTTTGGATATTTTTTGTTCGGTTTCGATTAAACCGAATTAACTAATTAAGGAGTTATATGTTTTATATTTATTTGTTGGGTTCAAAGTTGTGCTTTGATTGTTGTATTCAAGCTTGTTTCTCCTAAGTTTTGTATTAGTATAGCTTTAATGCTTTCTAGTATAAATAGGGTAATTAGAGTTGTAATTATTGTTGAGCTAATCATTTTGTAATCATTACAAGAATTAAAACAAAAGCATTTGGGTGAAATTCTCTCTCTAGTTTGATCATTTTGATCATTGAAGATTATCTGATTTGGTGATATTTTGGGAATTACAATTGGTATCAGAGCAGGTCATGGGGTTCGAATCCCATAGAGTGCATAATAATGCCAAAGGTATGATGTGCAGCCATTGACTTCTAGCGAAGATCTTGTTATTGCTGGCAGATGCTAGGGGGGGTTGTTGGGTCATTGACCAGCATCTTCTTAAATCGAAACGTGGCGCTGGCTGCTATGCTATAAGAAAATAAGTTACGTTTTCTCCACCAACAATTGCTTTTGGCGTACTGGTAAGCGCTTGGATTCTAACATTATTTATTGATAACTAGAAGGGTACTCGTATAATACAACGAGATCCATTTTATATTTTTTGTCTATCGATGTTATAATGCAATTTTATGTGGTTTTGAAAAAAAAATGTTATTATTTTTTAACAAAATATAAACTTGAAGATGTTATAAAATTTTGAAAAAATTAATTGATATTAGTATCAAATTAACTATTTAAAAGTTCTTGTTTTTGTGTAAATTCTATAATTCAAATTTTTATTATAATTTAATCTATCATGCGATGACTTCATGGTCGTCGGAATTGATATAAGAACTTTATTATTGAAATAAATGTAAATTAAAAGTTGATTATTGGATTCTGTAAATAGTAATAATCAGTTTAGAACGCACATCCAAACATCTTCTAAATACTAAGGCCTTGTTTTTTTTTTTTCTTAAAATAACATCTTAAGTCTGCTTCGGTAAGAGGTTTGGTGTTTGAGATTGTTTGTTTTTTTAGGTGATAAGAGCTGGAAAGCTCTTGCCGCAATCTGAATTGATAAGACGTTGGCCCACCCCTTTATTTCTCTGTTATTGTCGTCTTAATCTATTGTCACGAAGTTGTCTTAAAAAGCGCGTGTGCAACCTTAGTTCTAAGACAAAGTCAGCTAACTACAAGAATACTTAACGATGATGAGCAAACAAGAATGTTAAGAATTGGAAGAACTCTATACTTCTATTACTCGAGTTGTGAATATGTGGAGTGTGTTTTACAAATGAAAGACTACCTCTATTTATAGTATTGTATGGAACTATCTAGAGACTCTATCTAGATATTTTCAAGGAAGGATCAAAAGACATAAGCCCTTGAAAGGTATGGATCCTTCTAGAGTATGTTTAGGTCCTCTTGATCGTTGTTTAGCCATCCTTAATCCTTCTCCAAGCTTCCTCCAATATCTTGATTTATCCAGAATGTTCTGGATTTCCAGATAACCTCTTAGTGAGACATGACATCCTCCTTCACCTAATTTTGTGATGCCCTCATTGCGTCCTTATTGCACCTTGGTCAGATGTTTTCGGTCTCCATTAATTATGCTTTTTTGACTCCACGGTCTGAGCGATCCTCTTCCTTTGCTCCTTCTCCTTCACTTGGAAATCTTTCCTTTGTGGTTCTTCGTTCCAACATCAAAACTCTTGGATTGTTGTGTAGCACTACTTTGTTCCAAGGCCTCGTGCCTCTTCTCTTTCTCATGATCTACCTCGAGGTTGGGGCCTCTTGCCTCTTCCACGAGTTGTATGGTTGATACTAACTTGGCCTTGCGACATTTTTATGGTGTTCAACAAGCACACTCGGCCTTCATCTACAGTGCATAGTGAATGAGAAAAGGTAAAAGAAAAACTTGTACCTCGTCAAAGAAACTATCCCAAGAACGAGTTGGAAGTCATCCATCAGGATAACTATTAGGTCCACGGTACGGCTTCGACTACCGATCTCGATCCTTTTACTCCATTCATAACTCTTTGAATAGGTTGAGCCTTTGAGTTGACCTCCTTTATGGATCTGCCTTCTATCGAAATACGGACTCCAAGTCTCTTGGCTTCACTTTCGACAATGAAATTATGGGTGGCAACCCAAAGGGGTTGAACATCTGATCCCCTTATATTCACGTTCACAAATTATATGTATGGTTCCAACTTTGGTGGTTTCATATTCGTCTCAACCGCATTCAAGAAGCTTAAGGAACCCATTCTCGTGTCTCCTGGGTCCCCTTTATACTCCTCTATTTGTGCTTCCATGGCGTAGAACGCGGGTTTTTTTCGGACCCTTTCGTTCTCGGTGTGGGCCATCATGTTGGAACCACTTCATTGATGATTTTCAGTGATCCTTGAATCTTTTTCCCTTTTCAACCTCTCTCGACAGAGCTTCTTGACTTCATAGGTTCTTTTCTCTCCTAGGCTTCTTCCTTTGTACTTCTTTTTATACCTTGCTTCCTAGTTAAGCTCGACAATCAACTCGACCTAGGAAGTTGCATCAGCAAGGTCTCGTACCCGATGGCCTCAGATCTCCATCTTTGCCTACGAAGAAACCCACCCAATAAGCAAAAGGTGGCGGCGGAAGGTGGTGGATGGAGGCGATGGACGGTGGTAGTTGGCGGCAAACGGTGGAGGATGTCGTCAAACGGTGATGGATGATGGTGGATGGTGATCGATGGATAACCGTGATTGAAGGAGTCGATGCTCGGTTTTTCTAGAGGTGGATGTCGGTGGGGATAGTGATAATGGTCCCCCCGATCGCCTATTTATATAAACCGTTACGTAATAAAACAAAATACATCGTCAAATCGTAGACACATCATAGACACTAAATGACGAAATAGCGGTCAAACTACGTAAATCAGATATAATATCTTATTTTTGTCTCTCAAATCAAATACAAATAATTTTTTCCGTGTCATAATTATTATAGGATATTAACATTCAATGTTTATAAAAAATATATTTCTTATAAGAAAAATATAAGAATATTCGTTGGTTAATTTATGCGTTTAAAAAAAAGTGGTAAAATTTTTAAATCTTCACGTACTTTCATATTATTTTAAGGGTTGTCTTAGTATATTGTGTTTACGGGTTACGGGTTGTGAGAGTAGATGTGTTTTATTTTATAGAGTAAAATCATGACATTTAGTCCTAAAACAGTTAAAAAGTCAGTCTTAATCGTCCCCTATTTATTAAAAACACCACTTAATTGTCAAATCGATTTATACACTAAAAGAAGAAATAACAGTCAAACTACGTAAGTCAGATATAATATCTGATTTTTGTCCCCCAAATCATATACAAATAAATTTTTTTCATGTCCACAATTATTATTGAATATCAACATTTAGTGTGGTAAAAATATATTTCTTATAAGAAAATATAACAATATTCGGTGATTAATTTATGCGTTTTAAAAAAAGTGGTAAAAATTAGAAATTTTCACGTACAATCATATTATTTTAAGGGTTGTCACGGTAGATTGTGTTTACGGGTTGTGAGAGTGTAAATGTTTTATTTTATAAAGTAAAACCATGACATTTTGTCCTAAAACGGTAAAAAAAATCAGTCTAAATCATCCCCTATTTATTAAAAACACCCCTTAATCAATATACACTAAAAGACAAAATAGTGGTAAAAAAAAAAGATGAATCGCCCCCGGGGGTAGATCCGATGAGGTTGGGGCGATCCCGTCTATCGAGGTAAATAGAGATAGGTTTTCTAAAGTGTATACATGTTGATCCCTCCAAATTAATTTTTTATTATTTTTTTGTACTATTTGGTCAAATATCAAGAGGATCACCCCTATGGTCAAACCATGCCCTCCGGGTACGATCCATATAGTTATTTTGGCAATTATCATAAAAAAATGGGTATTTCGTTAATACATCAGGTATATATTGGTCGTTTTGATGATTTTCCATTCTTTAATATACATACCAAATTGTAATTCTGTAATTTTTGTTAACTGATTTTTCATTATAAGACTGAAGTTGATCTTAACGGTCACATCATACCATGTTATACATAGTGATGGAGCCACTCAAGGGCCATGGTGCGCAAGTGCTCACCCTGAAAAACGGTCAAAAAGTATAGATCAGTTTAACCAATTCCCGATTTATATTGTTTTAAACTTTTTCAATTCAAACTACCCGATAATCAAATAAAATTATGTTTAATCGATTTTCGGTTATTCACTTTGGTAATCTGACCAAATTGGCGTTTTATTTTAATAACATATGTTTAAATAAAGTTCGTCAGTTTGTTTTTTCAAAAATCTTATATATTAAATGGTTACGATTTTCTTGGAAAAGTGGCTCAAGACGAGAAGGGTTACGAGTGAGTTACAAAATGAATATTATTTGATTTTTTTTTAATAAAATATAAGTATAAAATATGAATTGAATACTTATTCTGTTAATCTGGTTTAACCAAATCGGGAAAAAAAATTAACCAAAAACAAACCAAACCAAATCAAACCAAACAATGATATCTTATTCCGTTAACCAACCTGTCTAACCTGAAGAAAACTATATAGAGAAATCGAGGTAAGAACGTACGACAAAGTCATGGTAGTGAGCAGTGGCGGATCTAAAAATTTAGGTGATTGGGGTCAGATTTAAAAGCGTCATAAATTTTTCGAAACTGAATAACCCACCGAACCAAAATGGTTTCGGGTTAAACGGTTCGGTTTT